GGTTGCGAAGAGTCGGACTCGACTGTGCGACTGAACAACAACAACAAATGTATGACTTGACCTTGTCTGGCAGCCAAATATGCAGATTGCTTGTGATTAAATGCACTGTGTGTTGAGGTGATATGACCGTTCTTCCTGCGGTGTGTGAGCTGTGATTATTCACACATGCTACAGTTATGACGATTTGTGACTTGGGCCTGAGGGCCAATTCACACTTCTTCTTTTTTTAAATTTACACCTCAGGGCTGGCTTCTACACACAGAGGTTGTAGGATGCTGAGGCCACAGTGCAGATTTGATTCAAGGCCCTTTGGACTTTATCCCCAAGACTCAAGAAGCAGCGGCGCCTGAAAACACACCTGTAGCACCAGTGGGGGATCGCCACACTAGGAACATATTCACTGGGGCTCACTGTCAGATGAGCATTCAATAGCAACCCTATCAGCTTCAAGACCTCAGGATCTGTAACCTATAATTTCCTCCTGCCCATTCCGTGCGGATTATAGTTGATGGAATTCAGAAATGAGGATAAAATAACAGATCGGAGTCCCTTTGGCAGGGAGCAGTTCTAGTCTGCTTCCTCAGGGGTAGGGGCAGGGTGGATCCAAGCAGCTCTTCCTACTCTGCCTGGGCAGGAAGAAGAAGAAGGAGGAGGAGGAGAAGGAGAAGAAGAATGAGGAGGAGGAGAGGAGGAGGAGAAGGAGAAGGAGGAGAAGAAAAGAAGAAGAGGAGGAGGAGGAGATTGGATTTATACCCCGCCCTTCACTTGGAGTCTCAGAGCGGCTTACAAACTCCTTTTCCCTTCCCCTCCCCACAACAGACACCCTGTGAGGTGGGTGGGGCTGAGAGAACTCTGACACAAACGGCTCTTTTTCAAGGACAGCTGTGCCAGAGCTTGTGACTGACCCAAGGTCACATCAGCAGGTGCACGTGGAGGAGTGGGGAATCAAACCCGGCTCTCCCAGATTAGAGTCCGCGCACTTAACCACTACACCAAACTGGAACACACCACCTCTACAGGGACCGGCTTTGAGCTTGCACTGCTGGTGCATTACAGCTAGTAAGGAGTCAGCACAGTTCACCCTGGGTAAAAGCGCTCTGATCCCCGGAAAATGAGGCCAACTGGAACGCCCTAAGCATGAAGCAGTACTGCCCTGCATTGGGCCTGGTTAAAAAGTGTCCTCTGGTCACTCGTATTCATCTATATATCTAATAAGTTGCTCCCTCCGTGCAGATATCTAAATCTGCACATTGGGGGCCCTTTGGGGGGGCGGGCAGAGAGATTTTCCTGCACACTTGGAGCAGTCCCCAGAAGTGCAGAAAAATCTAAACAGTTGAAAAAATATACAGGGGATATTTAAATCCCCATAAAAGTAAAAGTGTTCCCTGTGTATGCGCAGAGAACGCTCTGGCTGTTGGGGGGGGGGCGGGGGGAGAAGGCTAGCTTGCCAAAATCCATTCCCAGAGATCTGGGACTAGTAGTGTAGTGAATAGCTGAGCACAAATAAGGATGGAGTGGTGTAAACAGCTGTTGGTACGGGGGGAGGCAGGGGAGAAGGCTCACCTGCGGCTGCTTCCTCCTCCTACACGTGAAGCTCCTTCTCCCCCTCCCCCCGCGAGTATCGCCGGTCACCACTTTTTGTGTCTAATTCCTCTTGAAAATGCAGAGCATGCAAATACTGAAACACATAAAGGAAGTTGACACTGGAAACTGTGGGGAAGTCTCTATGTATGTGGGTCATCTCAATGACAGGCCTGTGTATTTCTCCTCAAAAAGCGTGGGTGATAGGTTTGAGAAAGACCACGTGAAATAATGCAGAAACGGTATACGGAAAAGGCCAAGCCTGCGTGAAATCCCTTCCCTGAATTAGAATGGAACGCTGTGTGAAATGAGGGACTGAGGAGGGCGGCAAGCACAGAACTGAGACTGGCACATACTGGAGATTTCTCCTCCTCCTGGTTCAAGGCACTTTGCAATCCAGTTTCCTTCACAGAAACATCCTGGCCTTGAAGCAATACTTGCTCACAACCAGGGCTATTTTTGGGCAGGAACACACAGGAACGGAGTTCCGGCTGGCTCCCAAGTTGGCCACGCCCAGCAGGAACTCATTAGCATAATAGGCCACACCCAACAGCAGAAACTCATTAGGATTGGCTACATTAGGGGTGTGTGGCCTAACATGCAAAGGAGTTCCTGCTACAAAAAAAGGCCCTGGGTTTTGACAACAAACAAGGTAAACAGAATAAGAAGCAAAAGGTGGGTGTGGCTGGATGACCACACTTCTGGTAACATGGGGGTGTGGCCTAATATGCCAAATGAGCTGTGCTGTCGTGGGTGTGGCCTAATATGCTAATGAGTTTCTGCTGTTGGGTGTGGCCTATTATGCTAATGAGTTCCTGCTGGGCTTTATCTACAAAAAGAGCCCCGCTCACAACAGTCCCAGGTACTTTGCTGCTCTGTATATTGTTGCTTTTCTAGCACTGAGCAAAACAGGTCCCTGCCCCAGCTTCGAACCAACACCTTATTCTCCTCCATTACAAAGTACTTCGTTATGGTCTCAGGAATGCCCTGGTGGCAAATTTTGTGGCACAGCTGGTCTGGTCAGGGTGGAGAAAGGCCCTTGGCTCTAAAGGAGGTTCCACCCTGATTTTGATAGTAGGAAAAAGGGGCATGGGTGTGTGTGTGTGTGGGGGGGGAGTTGCTGAGGAAAATCCATGTATGTGAAGAGGTGAGTGGAGGGGTGGGTCTGAAACTGGCACGTACTCAAAAGGACTTCCTTCTGTTTACCAGTTGCGGAAGGAAGGGGAGCCATGCCAACCTCTCACAACAGAAATAAAAAGGAGTCTTCACAGTCCCTTCAGCCCACTAAAGTTTGTGTTGCTAAGGGCCCCCAAAGCTCCTTTCCATTCCTTCTGCACATAATTGAACTGAACACTTTATTTATAGTGATGTAATCATTATCCTCTCTCTAGGAAAGCATTTTATTTTCTTTCAGTGCCAGGAAACATGTTTCCCGAAGTACGTACACAGCTATAGGAGCAAATTTCATTCTTGCAGATAGAAAAGATGTGGGCGTGAGGCGTTTTATTTGAAGGTGGCCAATGCAAAGTCCAATGCTGCAAAGAACAATACTGCATAGGAACCTGGAATGTAAGATCTAGGAATCAAGGTAAGCTTGACGTGGTCAAAAATGAGATGGCAAGACTGAACATTGATATCTTAGGAATCAGTGAACTAAAGTGGACAGGAATGGGCGAATTTAACTCAGAAGACCATTACATCTACTACTGTGGCCAGGAATCCCGTAGAAAAAATGAAACCCTGCCCTACACTCGGAGTATCAGAGCGGCTTACAATCTCCTTTCCCTTCACCACAACAAGCACCCTATGAGGTAGGTAGGGCTGAGACAGCTTTCCTGAGAACTGCCCTTGAGACAACAGCTCTGAAAGAACTTGTGACTGACCCAAGGTCATCCAGCAGCTTGAAGTGGAGGCGTGGGGAATCAAACCCGGTTCTCCCAGATTAGAGTACGCACGCTTAACCACTACATCAGACTGGCAACCAAACTCCCAATCAGTGGGAGGGAGGGGGGCATGGGGGACACAATGTGGTCTGCACTGCCGCGTCATTCCAAGGGGCAGACAGAAGTGACATGCGGTAACCCCAGGAATCACCGGAAAATAGAATTTCCAGCAATTCCTAGAGCTTCCCCATGTCACTTCCAGGTGTTCCCCCCCGGAACTGACATAGCAACACAGCTGGTGTGGCTCCCCCCCCCTCCCACTGCCTCTCTGAGTGGTGGTGGGCAACTGGGGCTCCTGATGTGTGGCTTGGCAGCCACAAGGGCACAGCCCACGATGTCAAATGCTGCCACTAAGTCCACTAAAAGCAGCAGAGCGCCAGAGCCCCTTTGTCTACAGTTAGAGCTCTTCTCCTAGGGGCACCAGCGCCGTCTCGGTCCCATAGCCTCGCCTGGGGTCCAGGGCAGATGCTTTGTCCAAGAAGGGCCCTGCTTTTTCCATCCTGTAGTGTGGGAAGGGCGCATTAGAGACCAGGTGACAGCTGGGGCACATCATTTCTCTCTAGCAATGCATTGACTGCCTGTTTCAGGGCACAAAGGGAGATTAACTTCTACTTAGGGCATTTCTCTCCCGAGAGATGAACTAAAGACACCTTGCTGCCAATAAAACAGTATACTATTTTACAGTAGCCAAAAATCCAGTCATTAGACATCTAAAAACATCCATTAAAACGGCCAAGTAAAGGTCTCCCTTGCTCGAAAGCCAGTCGAATCGGACTCTAGGGTTGCGGTGCTCATCTCCGTTTCCAAGCCGAAGAGCCAGCGCTGTCCGAAGACGTTTCCGTGGTCATGTGGCCGGCATGACTAAACACCAAGGTGCACAGACGCTGTTACCTTCCCACCGAAGTGGTACCTCTTTATCTACTGCTAGGTTGGCAGGAATTGTACATCTAAAGGTAAAGGTTCCCTTGCTCGAAAGCCAGTCGAGTCCGACTCTAGGGTCGCGGTGCTCATCTCCGTTTCAAAGCCGAAGAGCCAGCGCTGTCCGAAGACGTCTCCGTGGTCATGTGGCCGGCATGACTAAACACCAAGGCGCAGGAACACTGTTCCCTTCCCACCGAAGGGGTACCTATTTATCTACTTGCCATTTCCTGCTTTCGAACTGCTAGGTTGGCAGGAGCTGGAACTAGAGACGGGAGCTCACTCCGTCATGCGGCACCCGGGTCTCGAACTGCTGAACTACCGACCTTCCACAGCCTGCAGCTCAGCGTCTTAACCCCTTGAGCCACCGCAGCACAGGAAAGCCTTGAATAAATCGTTGGTCTTCAAGGTTCCTGACTGACAGGACACCTCTAAACCTCTAAACCGAAGACGGCGCTAGGGGGCGCCCGACAGCCTCTCGCCACCGTCACGGGGAGGGGGGGGGGAGAGAGAGAGAGCCCTTCTCCTCGCTCTCCCCTTCCCCGTCCAGGTCGCTGTGTGATGACGCAAGGGGGCGCGCGACTTCCTGTCGGCCTCCCGTCAAGGCCGCGCCTCCCGGGCGGTTGCCTGGCAACTCCTTCAGCCGGAGCAGGCCGCCGCCGGCCTCAGGAGCGCCCGGGTCGGGAGCCGCCGCCGCCGCCGCCGCCGCCATGACTTCGCTGCGGGCCTTCACCTGCGACGACCTCTTCCGCTTCAACAACATGTGAGGAGAGCAGGGACGGAGGATGGGTGGGCGGCCGGGCGGGACCCCCGCAGCGACCCCGGTCGCCTTAGGCCCGGGCGGCCCTTTGTCCCTTTCCCTATGTTGCTGCGCATGCGCCGGGCGCTTATTCCATGCGGGCTCGGTGGTGGCTCAGGCTGGGCCTCTCGGACAGGCCGGGTTCCGCCCCTGCCTCCTGGGACAAAGTTTGGGCCCTTCCACACCTTTACAGCTGTGGTGGCTCAAGTGGTTAAGACGCTGAACTGCAGGCTGTGGAAGGTCAGTAGTTCAGCAGTTCGAAAGCAAGGAATTGCAAGTAGATAAATAGGTACCACTTCGGTGGGAAGGTAACAGCGTTCCATGCGCCTTGGTGTTTAGTCATGCCAGCCACATGGCCACGGAAACGTCTTCGGACAGTGCTGGCTCTTCGGCTTGGAAACGGAGATGAGCACTGCAACCCTAGAGTCGGACTCGACTGGCTTTCGAGCAAGGGAGACCTTTACCTTTACTTTAGACCTTTACAGGGTCGCCGCCAGTGTTCCCTCTAAGCTGGGTCAGTGTGAGCCAGCTCACAGTTTTTTAGCCCCCGGCTCGCACATTTTTTTGTCTTAGCTCAGGAAGGAGAGGGCTCCCCATCAATGCTCCCGAGTCTTGTGAGCAAAAATTCTACTTTGGGAGCTGCTGGCATTAAAGCTGTGAGTGAGCGATTGGGCTGCCGCATCGATGAGTTTGCTCTGGAGCCCCATCCTTCGGTTAAGACGCTGAACTGCAGGCTGTGGAAGGTCAGTAGTTCAGCAGTTCGAAAGCAAGGAATTGCAAGTAGATAAATAGGTACCACTTCGGTGGGAAGGTAACAGCGTTCCATGCGCCTTGGTGTTTAGTCATGCCAGCCACATGGCCACGGAAACGTCTTCGGACAGTGCTGGCTCTTCGGCTTGGAAACGGAGATGAGCACTGCAACCCTAGAGTCGGACTCGACTGGCTTTCGAGCAAGGGAGACCTTTACCTTTACTTTAGACCTTTACAGGGTCGCCGCCAGTGTTCCCTCTAAGCTGGGTCAGTGTGAGCCAGCTCACAGTTTTTTAGCCCCCGGCTCGCACATTTTTTTGTCTTAGCTCAGGAAGGAGAGGGCTCCCCATCAATGCTCCCGAGTCTTGTGAGCAAAAATTCTACTTTGGGAGCTGCTGGCATTAAAGCTGTGAGTGAGCGATTGGGCTGCCGCATCGATGAGTTTGCTCTGGAGCCCCATCCTTCCTGAGCCAAGACAAAAAGGTGTGAGCTGGAGGCTTAAAAACGGTGAGCTGGCTCACACGGACTCAGTTTAGGGGGAACACTGCCCCTGAGCAATGCTCCCTCTTAGCCGTGGATTCTTGAGTAAAAATTCTAGATTGGGAGCTCCTGGCATTAAAGTAGTGAGCGGGTGATTGGGCTGCTGCATCAATTAGTTTCCTCTGGAGCCCTCCTTCCTGAGCTAAGACAAACTGTGCGATATGGAGGCTAAGAAACTGTGAGCTAGCTCATGCTCACTCAGCTTAGAGGGAACATCACTCCAGACCAGAGCAAACTAGTTTCTGCAGTAGCCAAACTGCGCACTCACAACTTTAATGCCAGCAGCTCACAAAGTAGGATTTTTGCTCAGAAGACTCCACGGCTTAGCGGGAGCATTGCCAGGTCTGGGTTGGGAAATATCTGGAGACTTTGGGGGTGGATCCAGGAGAGGGTGGGGTTTGGGGAGGGGAGGGGCCTCGGCATGGCCCAGTGCCACAGAGTCCATCCTCCAAAGCAGCCATTTTCTCCAGGGGTGCTGACATCTGTCAGCTGGAGATCGGTTGTCAAAGCAGGAGATCCCCAGGCCTCACCTGGAGGCTGGCAACCCTAGACCTTTAAGACCAGCGGAGTTTAATTCTTCCGTGTCTGTGCATTCACGCTCTTCAAAGTGTAAGGTAAAGGTAAAGGTTCCCCTTGCTCGAAAGCCAGTCGAATCCGACTCTAGGGTCGCGGTGCTCATCTCCGTTTCAAAGCCGAAGAGCCAGCGCTGTCCGAAGACGTTTCCGTGGTCATGTGGCCGGCATGACTAAACACCAAGGCGCACGGAACGCTGTTCCCTTCCCACCGAAGCGGTACCTATTTATCTACTTGCAATTTCTTGCTTTCGAACTGCTAGGTTGGCAGGAGCTGGAACTAGAGACGGGAGCTCACTCCGTCATGCGGCAACCCGGGTCTCGAACTGCTGAACTACCGACCTGCCACAGCCTGCAGTTCAGCGTCTTAACCACTTGAGCCACCGCAGCTCCTTCTTCACAGTGTACGTGCACACAAAAGCTTCTACCCAAAATTAAACGTTGTTGGTCTTAAAAGTGCCCATGGGAGCCAAACTCTTTGTTCTGCTACTTCAGACCAACACGGCTGCCCACCTGAGTCTCTCTCCTTGGTGGTTCGCAGGGGCGGGGGGCTGGAATTTGCTCCACACCGGGGGTCAGTAGCCCTGTACACAAGTGCTAGGGAAGGGGAGACACCTCCAGCTTGTGCTGAGCTTACAACTGACATTTCCTTATACACGTTTTGATCCATTCTCATGTTACCTGCATGCAAATGTGTGATTCAAACTCCACGTTTATCCAGTAGAAAGAGCGCAACTCCAGTAGCACCTGAAAGACTAACAGAATTTGTGGCAGGGGGGTGAGCTTTCGTGAGTCACTGCTCACTTCTCCGAATACAGGCAGGTAGCGGTGTTGGTCTGAAGCAAAAGGACAAATTTTGAGTCCAACGGCACCTTGAAGGCCACCAAAGTTTTATCATGGGTGTGCACGGACACTTTGTCAGACACCATGAAATCATGAAATGAAAGACACAACGAAAGACACAAAGCTTATACTTTGAACAAAAACTTTGTTGGTCTTAAAGGTGCCACTGGACCACTGTTCCCTCAAAGCTGAGTTAGTGTGAGCTAGCTAGCTCACAGTTTTTTTAGTTTCTGGCTCACACATTTTTGTCTTAGCTCAGGAAACATGGCTATAGAGCAAGCTAATTTATGCAGCAGGCAAATCGCTCGCTCACAACTTTAATGCCAGTAGCTCCCAGAGTAGATTTTTTGCTCACAAGACTCCACAGCTTAGAGGGAACATTGCACTGGACTCAGACTTTGTTCTTCGGATACGTATATCCAGGTGCCGGTCACTGGTTTCATCTTGAAAATAAATGTGCGGTGGCTTTTTCTTAGGAACAGGCAGAAGCATGTATGTGCAAGATGCATGTGTGTTTACTGTAACAAGTTAACAGGGTTAGTGTGGCTAGCTTGGGGGGGGGGGGTCAGGTAGGAGATGATGAGAGGCTTGCTCCTTCCCTGGGCCTAAAAGAGGAGCTGTTAACTCCTAAGCTTCAACGGTGTCTTTCCATTATTGTTGTAACTGGTTCTTTTTATTTTCTCCAGCAATTTGGACCCTCTTACAGAGACCGTATCCTTTTTAGCTTGAAACTGGAGAATGGGGAAGGGTTTTTTTAAACATGGTCCAAGGAAGGAAAGGCATGTTTGCCGCTGACTGTGCTGTGGAGCTGTAGCTGATCCTAGCACCAAGCAAGGGCGCCTGTATTGATGTTTATGTTATTGTCTTGTGTACTTCATTTCTAGCCTGCCTTTCTCCCAGTGGGGACCAGTGTTCCCTCTAAGCTGAGTTGGTGTGAGCTAGCTCACAGTTTTTTAGCCTCCGGCTCACACGTTCTTATCTTTGCTCAGGAAGGATGGCTCCAGAGCAAATTAATTTATGCAGCAGCCCAATTGCTCGCTCACAACCTTAATTTGCCAGTTTGGTGTCGTGGTTAAGTGTGCGGACTCTAATCTGGGAGAACCGGGTTTGATTCCCCCACTCCTCCACTCACACCTGCTGATGTGACCTTGGGTCAGTCACAACCTCTGGCACAGCTGTCCTTGAAAAAGAGCAGTCTGTCAGAGTTCTCTCAGCCCTACCCACCTCACAGGGTGTCTGTTGTGGGGAGGGGAAGGGAGAGGAGTTTGTGAGCCGCTCTGAGACTCCCGAGTGAAGGGCAGGGTATAAATCCAATCTCTTCTCTTCTCTTCTTCTAATGCCAGTAGCTCACAAAGTAGAATTTTTGCTCACAAGACTCCACAGCTTAGAGGGAGCATTTGTGGGGACCCAAAGCTGTTAACATTGCTCTCCCCTCCTCAGTGTTCTCCTCACAACATCAGCCCTGTGAGATGGGCTAGGCTGAGTGTGTGTGACTGGCCCAGGGTCACCTAGCAAGCTTCCACGGCAGTGACCTTCTGCAGCTTAGTGGAGATTTGAACCTGGGCCTCCCACATTCTACTCTGGTGCTCCAGACGCTCCACCACATTGGCTCATGTTCACAAAAAATTATGGGGGTGGGTGTCTTCCTGCATCCCTCTCTCAGTGCGTGTCTGTAAAAATGTGTATCAGTTGCACTGCAAAAAGTATGATGTATGGAGCAGCTTTGAAAGGATTCCTGTTTATTTGTCTATATTAATAGGAGAAGGGCAGGCAGGGAAAGGCCTTTCTTTCCCTCCCTGAACTGGGAAAGGGAAAGAAAGGCATTTAAACATGGCTGGACTCTCTGCCTCTGCTTCTCCAGCAGCCCTGGGGCAGCTGGAGGAGGGAAGGTAGAAAGGAGGCTTTCCCTGGTCAGTTTCACTCCTACAGCTGACTGGCAGGGAGTGAAATTGACCAGGGAAGCCACGGGGGGAGGGAAGTCAGTATTTGCCTACCCAAAAGCCAAATAAATTTGGGAAACTATTCGGCAGTCGGAAAGTTTTCTGAATTTGCATTCGGCTTTAAAAATACCAAAAAATACCAATAAGGTATTTATTCAGTATTTTTTCGGTTCAGGAAAGCCGAATGCACATCCCGTCTTTTCTGATACCTGCTGCCCAGTAGCCTTCTGCTGGAGATACCAAGGATTGAACTGGGAACCTTCAGAGCACGCAGCAGGTATCTGCCACTGAGCAGCATTCCTGACCCAGCACAGGACTTTGGAATTAAGTGTTCACAGTTATTTCACTATTTTATTTTGTCCATTTTAAGAAGCTTGCCTCTTGAGGTACGATTTTCTTAACCTACAATACTCCTAGTATGGGATCCCATTTTACTTACAGTACTTGGCCCACTGGCCAGAGTATTTTATTGTTGCAGAAGCACCTGGTGGAGAGCTAATGGGTTACAGTAAGTAGAATTTCCCCCTTTGTTGCTGGGTGTCAGTCTTTTCCTTTCCTTTCTGTTTGATTTCAGTGGAATTTATTTCCAAGGAAATATGCTTATTATCACAGCTTTTGGCTGCAGTTGTGAGGGCAGTTTCAAGACCCAGCCTCATTGAATAACATGGGGTGTTACTTATGTTTAGGTGGTGAGCTAATGTATGTCATCCATGAAGACTAACGGATCTGATTGGATTCCAAAATGCTCCGTGGGATTTCAGCATCTGAAATAGGCCTCAAAAGGCTGCAACTGTGACCTTCTGAATTAGTTCCAGAAATGGTCACTGACCTTTTAGAGGTGCCAACAGGAAAGTTGCTCTGTGGGGGTCATGCGCTGGTTCAAACGTGCTAACCCATGCTCCTTGTGCTTGCAGTTATGGGGAAAGCTGAAGGTTCGGTGGCTAGAGAGGAGTGGCATGGCCACGTGACCGCCCTCTCTGTCGCTCCTGAATTTCGCCGGCTGGGCTTGGCTGCTAAGCTAATGGAGCTGCTTGAAGAAATCTCAGAAAGGTGAATCCTGTCCATGAGAGTTCTTGGTCGCTAAGCTGTAAGCAACCATACCTGTTCAGTAACATGTTAATCTGCAGAAATTCCAGTTGCATTTCCTGTGGGCCCCGGTGAAGACTAATCCAAATGTCATGAGCTACTTAGACCGTGCCGAATACCTCCCTGGGTGGCACCGTCTTCCAGCCTCTCCTCGAGGCAAGGAGCATGGAGGCAACTGGAAAAGTCTGCGTGGCAGCAGGACACACCCTGATCAGAGCTGGGAGAGTCCGAAGGCCCTGTTGAGCCAGCGCACGGCTGCTGCATTGGTGTGTCCTGGGGGAGGGCATCCTTCAGACACGTGGGTCCCAGGTCCCAAAGGTCTTCAACAGTAGGTCCTGGCACCTTGAATTGGACCTGGAAACAAATCAGCCATTAGAGAAGGAAGCTCAGAGTTGCCGTAGTATGTGCTCTGTGACCAGCCCCGCATAGTGAACAGGCTACCGAACTCTACACCCGTTTCCTGTTTTCAAGGGTAGCCCCACAGGGAAGATATTACAGTAATCAAGACCTGAGGTTACTCTACTGTCAATCGGCATGGCCAGATCCTGGCTGCGGTCACACGGAGCATTAGGCACGCTAGAGAGATGGAAGATAGGCAGATTTTCCGGGCGCGATCTCACCGCCACATCTGGGAAGCGTAGAGCTCCCGTGGCACACCCGAGGCTTCACTCCGAAGATGCGCTGTAAAAAACTAGTACCTCCGAGGTACTAGTTTCCGGAAACCGCGGGGCAAGGGCGGGCGTCTGATCGGGTTTCCGGTGGTAGTTCCGGCGCCCGCCCATGTCCCTTCGCAAAAAGGGTTTTTTCCCCCCAAGTCTACACGGATGCACACAAGCACCCAACGGAGCATGCGCACACTTCAGTTTAAAAAAACAAAACACAACCCCGTTTGCCCCGTGGCCCCGCTTCTTTGCAGCGCCGCAGGATTGTCGTGTGATTGGCACCTCCCCCCTAACCACGGGACCTCCACGGGAGGTCTGATCGCGCAACTGCGCGTTATTTTGCCCCGGGGCAAACAGCCACGCTTCCCCCCCACATTTTCCGGCCCGTGTGACTGGAGCCCCTGTGTCTGTCAATAAAGGGCCTCTGTGTTGGATGCAGATGCTGAAATGTGTTCTTTGCGGCAACGCTCACCAGCTTCTCCAGCAGGAGGTCGTGGTCCCACAGGACTCCTGAGCTCTTGGTGGCGTCCTTTAAGGAGAGCTGTTCTCCATCAGTCGTTGGAAGCCAGTCTCCTGCCGAGGCCACCGTCTTGCCCGACCAGCTCCTGTCTCTCCTGGATTCAATGCCAGTACTTCATGCTTGGCTATGGCATTTGGGTACTGGCATAGAAAAGAGATGGCAGCACCAAGTTGGGTGGTTCAGTGTAATGTATAGCTGGGTGTCATCAGCATATTGATGATGCCCAACTCCAGAGCTCTGGACAGTTCTATTACAGGCTTGGCATAGATGTTAAATCATATCGGTGAAAGTGCTGACTCCTGTGGTTCTCACCCACGTTGCCTTCTTCTTGAGTTATGTCTTATTAAAAAGGGTTGGAACCAGGGCTATTTTTGGGCAGGAACGCACAGGAACAGAGTTCCGGCTGGCTCCCAAGTTGGCCGCGCCCAGCAGGAACTCATTAGCATAATAGGCCACACCCAACAGCAGTAACTCATTAGGATTGGCTACATTAGGGGATGTGCGGCCTAACATGCAAAGGAGTTCCTGCTACAAAAAAAGGCCCTGGGTTTGGACAACAAACAAGGTAAACAGAATAAGAAGCAAGAGGTGGGTGTGGCTGGATAACCACACTTCTGGTAACATGGGGGGTGCGGCCTAATGTGCTAATGAGCTGTGCTGTCGGGGGTGTGGCCTAATATGCTAATGAGTTTCTGCTGTTGGGTGTGGCCTATTATGCTAATGAGTTCCTGCTGGACTTTTTCTACAAAAAGAGCCCTGGTTGGAACCACTTCATCCCTGTCCAACTGAGTCCTGCATCCATCTCCAACTGTCTCGACAGTGGCTCGACCCAAATATCATGTCAAACCATGTGGTTTAGGACCCAAATCATAGTTTGAGCTTCCAAAGAAGACAGACAAGGCATGGTTTAGAGCTGCCAGTCTGCCTGTATTTTCCATCTGCTCGGTACTCTGGTCAGTGGCTTTTCTCCATAGCTGATTTGTCGACACGGACATTATTTCAACCCTGCAGTGCAAATTATTACGACATGTCAAGCTATGGTTTGTAGTTTGACTTAAGACCGATGCTATATGCTTAGGCAGGTCTCTGAATTGAGGCAGTGGTTGCCTGTGTAAGTGCGGAAAGCTTCCCATAGATTTTTATGCAGCCTCTTAGGTTACATAGCACTATTGCAAATCCTCGTAGCCATTTATTTATTGTTTTATTTCCCCCCTCCGTCTCTCCCAATGAAGAAAGGGTGGATTTTTTGTGGACCTCTTTGTAAGAGTGTCAAATCAAGTTGCCGTGAATATGTACAAACAGCTGGGCTACAGTGTGTACAGAACCGTGCTAGAATACTACTCTGCTAGCAATGGGGAGCCCGATGAAGACGCTTATGGTGAGTGTTTGGAGCACTGGTTGCATTTCAGACAAATGGGAGGGTCTGATAAAGGCCTGTGGAGTTAAAACTCTTGATGGTTTGCTGTAAATGTCTGTACGGAACTGATTAATGACAGTGTTGTCTAGAGTAAGGGCACAGTCCGGCCTAAAATACGCACACTAGTGGTCCATTTCAGTGGCAGATGTTGAAGCGTGCATGTAGATCTACCACAATCAGGGCCAGCTCAAGGTGTTTCTGCGCCCTAGGCGAGGCTGCCTTGTGGTGCAGATGCCAACCTCCCGGTGGGGCCTGGAGACCTCTGGAGCCAGCCACCCTTTTGCTACCGCCGCCACCGCCTCCCCCCCCCGCAGCTGTCAGACCCAGCGAGCACGCCCCACATGTTCCTGCAGCACCCTCCAAGATGGAAGAGAGATTTCTCTCGTGCTCTGCTTCCGAAGGCAGTTTGGGAGGGAGGTGGGGGGGGGGGATCCTGTCTCCAGGCGGGGGATGCTCACCGGATGCCTCTCCCCAATTAGCGAAGTGCTGACACTTGGAGAGCTGCTTGCGGGCTTTTGGTGGCGGGGGGGGGAGGCACAGCTCGGCACCCCATCCAGGGCCCAGCACTCTAGGCGAATGCCTAGTTCGCCTAGTGGGTGAGCCGGCCCTGACCACGAAATGAAACGGGCCCTTAAAAGAGTCTTTACTTTTAGCTGGATCATTTTTTAAACTCCCAGCCATGACTGCTGCACCAACAGACTACTGAGGCAAGAGACAGAACTCTGGAGCACCATTCAGTGTATCCAAGGAGGCGCCGCATCAAAGAAACGGTGGTCTCCATGGCAACTTGACCATTTCTCTAGGACAACAGCTGATGCTTTCAGGAATCTTACGCTCTGCTGTGGATTAAGATCCCCCCCCCAAGCATGCATAGAGATTGGAACTTGCAGGACAGAGATTCCCCCCCCCCAAAAAAAAAAACACACACTCACACATAGGTAGAACCAGTAGGGGATTTTTGTTACATTCCAGGCACCAAGAGGAACCTCAGGATCCAAACTTTCCCTTCTGGCCAGCGTAGAGAAAGACCTGGCGTTACAAAAGATCAGTAGAGCGCAGCTCTTATTAATTCTTGTAGTGAGAATGCCCATCTCCTCCCCATCCCCCCCTGCTCTTGGTGCTATTTCTGTTTAATCTCAGTCTTGTTGATTCCTTGCTTCCCACTGACTTGTTTTGCAACATAACGTATCTTATCGGTACTTGTTTTTGTCTCCCTTGTGTTCGTATCCACAGACATGAGGAAAGCCCTATCTCGAGACACAGAGAAGAAATCAATCGTGCCATTACCTCATCCCGTCAGACCAGAAGACATTGAATAAGCCGAGGCCGGCTATTTATACAGCGGGCCGAAATAACATTTGGAGACAGCTGGGAACACTTTCAGAGGACGCCGCAGCGTTTAAAAACAAATGCAGTAAGGAGCCTCGGAGCAATGGAGCAAAGGAATCCGCAGACACGGGCTTTTGTTTGTAGGCTTTTGGGCGGAGTCTTCTAATGCTGCTGCTGCAAAGCAGATTTAGGACTGGAATCTTTTTTTCTGCTTTTAATTAAACCATAAATAAATCTCAGTTGTTTTGAACGGTTACAAAACTTCAAATTCAGATAAAGTATCACGTCATGTTACAGGCCTTAAAGCAAACAGGAAAAATAAATAAATGAAACCAGTAGAGTAAAACCTAGATGTCTACAAACATCTCCATTTTCTGATGCTCATAAACATTCCCGCCTCTGTAGTTGTTTGTTTGTTGTTGTTGTTCAGTCACACAGTTGAGTCCGACTCTTCGCGACCCCATGGACCAGATCACGCCAGGCCTTCCTGTCTTCCGCCATCCTCTGAAGTTTGCTCAACTTCATGTTTGTTGCATCTATGACACTGTCTAACCATCTCATCCTTTGCCGTCTCCGTCTTCTTTGACCTTCAATCCTTCCCAGCATCAGGGTCTTCTCCAGTGAGTGCTCCCTTCTCATTGGGTGGCCAAAGTCTTTGAGCTTCAGTTTCATTATCTGGCCTTCCAGGGATCGGTCAGGGTTGATTTCTTTTAGGATTGACTGATTTGATCTTCTTGCAGTCCAAGGGACCCTCAAGAGTCTTCTCCAGCACCATAGTTCAAAAGAATCTATTCTTCGGTGCTTGGCCTTCTTTATAGTCCAACTCTCGCAGCCATACATGACTAGCCAGTTTGGTGTAGTGGTCAAGTGTGCGGACTCTAATCTGGGAGAACCGGGTTTGATTCCCCACTCCTGCTGATGTGATATCTTGGGTCCCCAGATATCTGCAAGAATCTTGGCTGCCTATGAAACAACTTTTTCTCCTAGCCCTTGGCTGAAGGGTCAGATTCCTGAAGAAGCCATCCTCTTGCTTTTCTGCGTTCTCTTTTTCCTTGCGTGTGTGTTTGCTTTGGGATTTTTCCCTGTTCTGCTCGTGTTTTGCTCCCTCTAGTGGAGGTTCCAGCTCCTGCCAACCTAGCCGTTCGAAAGCAAGACATTTCAAGTAGAGAAATAGGTACCACTTCAGTGGGAAGGGAACAGCGTTCCGTGCACCTTGGTTTTTAGTCATGCCGGCCACATAACCACGGAAACGTCTTCGGACAGCGCTGGCTCTTCGGCTTTGAAACGGAGATGAGCACCGCAACCCTAGAGTCGGATTCGACTGGCTTTCGAGCAAGGGAACCTTTACCTTTTAGTGGTTGATTGGATATTTTATTGATTTATGTCCTGCGTAAAAACCTGCAGATGTAAACTGCTGTAATATCAAATCGGCTACCAAAGGGAGCAAAACAAGAGAAGAACAGGGGGGAAAACCCCCAAAGCAACAGGAACACACAAGTAAGAAGAGGAGGAGATTTGATTTATACCCCGCCCTTCACTTGGGAGTCTCAGAGCGACTTACAACCTCCTTTCCCTTCCCCTCCCCACAACAGGCACCCTGTGAGGTAGGTGGGGCTGAGAGGGCTCTTTCCAGAACTGTCCTTGAGAGAACAGCTCTGACAGAACTACCGCTTGCCCAAGGTCATCCAGTAGGTGCAAGTAAGTGGAGGAGTGGGGAATCAAACCCGGTTCTCCCAGATTAGAGTCCACGCTCTCAATCACTACACCAAACTGGCTCTGGAAAATGAGAAATGTGGGAAAGCCCCTCTCTGGGTGAGGGAAAAGTTGCATTCAGAAATACATTTTCTAATTGCAACCAATGGAAATAAAGTGAATATTCTACAAAGCGCAATAATGAAATAAATTTGCAATGGAAAAATGCTTATAATGAAAAAAAACATAAGTAAAAACTTTGTGTAAGCACTTGTGGGACAGGTTCACGTGGGGGGGGGGGAAGCGGGTTTGGAAGTCCAAGTGGCACTTGGGCAGCCGGGGGCAGTCCTCCAGAGCCAGCTGGTTTACGCGTCACTCCTCTTAAGCCCGAGGAGCCAGCAGACCAGCCAAGCAGGGGCAACAGCAAAGAGTTTGCAATGCTTTCCACTCACATGCTAATGGCAGAAGCTCCTGTTCCAAATGTGACCAACAATGCACACTTTTTTGTAAACATTTATTGCATTTGCCCACAAGGGCTACTGTACAAAACAAACGGCAGGAATTCCAAGGGAACATTATTAGGGACTGCTTTCATCGACGTCCTTGTCCGGATCTCTCTCTGGGTCATCGTCTTGTTGCTGCTTTTTCCAGAGTTTTGCCATCGCGAGCAGTTTGAGGTTGGGCTGATTGGCAGCATCCTCCGGGAAAATGTAATCGTAATATTCTTCCCAGCCGGCATCAGACTAGAGAGAGAGAGAGAGAGAGGTACATCAACATTTCTATCCCTCGTGTTTGTTTCCCTCTTTCCTGAATATTTACGGTTATTGCTGCACGAGCAAAAGGGTTTTTAAGAGGCATTTGAAAAGAGACGTTTTCTCAGCAATGAGTTAGAGCCCTCTGTTAGAAGGCCCCCCCCCCCCCCAACAAAAGCAGAATGGATCCAGAGGGCCCAGCTCAAGATCATTAACTGCTGCTGTGGGCTCCCCCCCCACATACACACACAGAAAAGAAAAACCAGAAAACTCACACGGCAAGGAGAGGGCAAGGCTGAACCTCTCTCCTGAGTGCAGGGAGCTTTTATGTTCTTGTTAAGAAACCTATGTGTTCTAGTATAGAACTTGTTTTTAGGGGTTTTTTCAAACTGGAAACCTCGGTAATGTACCGGAACACCAATCAGATGACAGCATAATTATGGGAGAGGACGCTATACATATGAACCAAATAGGTCTAAGCGAAACCATATATATGAAAAAGTACAAATATTTATTAAGGTGTACACGTGTTAAAAGTTTCCTGATTAAAAATTGCTTTGTCTAAAATCAGACTGTAAAAGCTTGTCCACTATACATACAAATGATGGGTAAAAACTTTACAACCAAAGACCAAACGCGTTTCGGCCCCTAAGGGCCTTCCTCAGTGGTCACTATTATCTATATATTCTAGACACACATTCAAAGACCTGTTACAGAATTCTAATATCCATATAATTAAACCAGGTGGAGGGACGCACATTCAGACCTACAAAATTGCTGTTACCAGAATAAGTTGGGGTGGTGATAAGGCTATACCTATGGCCCATCACTAATACCAGGAGTCCAGTTATAAGTAGACCAGGAAACAACATCTGGTTTAATTATATGGATATTAGAATTCTGTAACAGGTCTTTGAATGAAAAGGGTATGTGCAATATGGAGAGAGGGTTTTAGTCACGTGGGATCCTTGGGCGTGGCCCACGTATAAATTGTTTTAAACTGTTTTATTGTATTTTATTGCACTTTGTGCCATATGGTTGTAAGCCGCCCTGAGCCCGCATGCGGGGAGGGCAGGGTATAAATAAAATTAAATAAATAAATGTGTGTCTAGAATATATAGATAATAGTGACCACTGAGGAAGGCCCTTAGGGGCCGAAACACGTATGGTCTTTGGTTGTAAAGTTTTTACCCATCATTTGTATGTACAGTGGACAAGCTTTTACAGTCTGATCTTAGATAAAGCAATTTTAAATCAGGAAAGTTTTAACACGTGTACACCTTAATAAATATTTATACTTTTTCATATATATGGTTTAGCTTAGCCCTATTTGGTTCATAGTCATACCTTGGGTTGAGCCCCCCCCCCTTTTCTCCAGAGGATGCTATACGTGCCACTTCCAACGTGCAGCCCTACAGGAATCCCGCCCAAGAATGCCCATCAGCACAGCTTCTTGTTTCCCACAGAGGCCCACCGGATGCCCCTGAGAAGCCTGCCGTCAGGCCACGGAAGCCACAGCCTCTCTCTTGGTGACTGGTATTGAGCAGCCCACTGCTTCTGAGCACAGAGGTCTGAGTCAACAAGGCTAATACCTGTTGACAGATTTCCCAACCTTTAATTGGTCTAATTTCCTTTTTTAAAAAAAACACCTAAACTTGCGGTTGACATAACACTTTCTGGCAGCTGGTTTCATCTGTTAATCATGTGTGGTGTGAAAAAGTTATTTTGTGAGTTCACACGAAGATGAGCTTCACTGCTGGATACTCCCAGCTGCATCAGAGGCCCAGAGTCGATGCTGAGGTCTTTCTTTGTCCTTCAGTACAACTGGCAAGCTAAACTAATAATGGTGGAAGCCAAAGCTTCATAGAAACCATAGCTAACTTTTATTCCTTATTTATCTAATGCTTAGTTTGCAGGGGCAAGCACCCACTGGCAGGAAAAATACGGGTACCTTCTCACACTGTCACTTTTGGGACCTCGTTCTAGATCCAGTTTCATAACATCCCCCGCTGCACTCTTGGAAACCCACTGCCCACCAGCGATGGCTAGCTTTCCGGCGTGGGTCCTCTTACCCCATCTTCGGCCTGAAGCTTCCTCCGCTTCTTGACTTTCTCTGGCATGAGTTTATCCACCCGCTCTTTGCTGGATTCTGTCCCAAACTCCTCTTCAAAGTTCCTCCAGGATTCCAGAAGCATAAGCCTCTCCTCTTTCTCCTCGCAGTTTCGCATGGTCTTATTGGCCTCTTCGTAGATCTGCCTGCACCGTGACAAACTATCGTCTTTCCCTGCTGAGAGCTCGAACTGAGCAAAACTGATCCACACCTAAGGCGAAACAGAGAAATTGCACCAAATCAGCTGACGCGGCAGCAGGAGACCAATGCTTTAATGCCCTCCTCTTTCCCAGGGTTTTTTTTTCTTAGAATCATACAGAATCATGGACTCTCAGAGTTGGGAGGGGCCCTACAGGCCGTCTACTCCCACCCCCTGCTCAATGCGGGATCAGCCTAGAGCAGTGGTGGCGAACCTATGGCACGGGTGCCAGAGGCGGCACTCAGAGCCCTCTCTGTGGGCACACATGCCATCGCCCCAGCCAGGCCCAGACCATCATTAAAGTGTGGAATTCTCTGCCAAATAGTTTTAAGTCAATGAAAGCATTTGGGATTGCTTTCCTTACTTTGTTTGGATCATCTTAAGTTAATGTTTGAGTTGTTTTTTCTAAAGTAAAACCTCAGTATTCAGGTTAAATTGCCGTATTGGCACTTTGCGATAAATAAGTGGGTTTTGGGTCACAGTTTGGGCACTCGGTCTCTAAAAGGTTCGCCATCACTGGCCTAGAGCATCCCTGACAAGGGTTTGTCCAGCTGCTGCTTCAAGACTGCCAGGGAGGGGTTTTTAAGAAGAACACTGGACATGGAATGTATTGCCAGCTGTTCTGAAGCAAAGCTGGTG